CTCCCTCTCTCCCTTCCTTGCTGAAATCAATAAAAATATATTTAACAAAACCCAAAACATTTGCTGTTTAGTCTTGCTTAAAGATATCTGACCTGAATAACATTTCTCATTTCCGGCGAATTTAGAAATCAATTGTCTAAATTATATCAGACACAATATCGAGGCACCATGGTGCGGGAACTGTGCCGTATGGTTATGCGGTTGTCTGTTCATATCGATTGTAAAAATAACCTTTTTCTTTTTAGAAAACTTTAAGATTTGTCAGTCTCCACCTAAGATAACCCATGGGGTCATTGTTGGCGACGTGTTGCCGAGCTACCCAACGGGAGCCTTCGTGGAGTACAGATGCAATGAGTACTACATCATGAAGGGCGAGAAGAAGTCCTCCTGTGACCATGGACAGTGGTCCTCCCCCCCTCTTTGCTTAGGTAAGACGAACCCACGTGGGATGTGTCCAACGGCTTCCCCCAGCTTTAATGATACCATCGACGGACAACACTGCGTAAGATGAAGGTGTACGACGTGATGATTTCATAAACTTGGATAATATTGTGAGATGACGACCACCGTGAGGCTACTTAGCATAGCCTTTGCCTCACGTAAATACCATTGTTTGTTGTTATTATTTTTCTTAATAATATGCGGGGCTGTGAGCATGGATGTTTCTCTGTTTCTCTCTCTCTCTCTCTCTCTCTCTCTCTCTCTCTCTCTCCCTCTCTCTTTCTCTCCCCCTCCCCCTTCCTCTCTGAAATCAATAAAAATATATTAAATAAAAAAAGAACGCCTCACTTTCCTATTAGTCAGACGAGGAGAGAACTGACGAGAGTGCTTGGTGTTGCAGAGCCGTGCGAGGTCAGCAAGGAGGACATGGAGAGCAGCAACATCGAGCTGAAGTGGGAGTACGAAGGGAAGGTCCTCCACGGGGACCTCATAGACTTTGTGTGCAAACCGGGCTTTGACTTGGCGCCATCCAGCCCGCCGTCCGGGCTGTCGGCGCAGTGCTCTCGAGGCCAAGTGCAATACCCCTTATGCATGAGGAAAGGTAAGCGCCTGCTTTCTACCGGTCCTCGGAGGGTCAGGGTCGCCCCCGGGGTTCAAAGGTCAGACCTGAGACAATGCACCACCTTCTCCCCCTCATCTAGGGAACCGGGAGGGGTCTGATCGATTTCCCAGTTCACACGCACCCTGCAGGTGGATGACTGTGCTGACGTCATTGAATTTCCATCAGTGAATTTTGTGGGTGTTTTTGTTTGTTTGTGTTTTGGTTAATCCTCCTTGAGGATATTTTTTTCCCATTGATTTTTTTAACTTAAAAATATATATATATATATTTGTATTGATTTCAGAGAGGAAGGGAGAGGGAGAGAGAAAGAGAGAGAAACATCAGTGATGAGAGAGAATCATGGATTGGCCGCCTCCTGCACGCTCAAGCACTGAGCCACACGGGCCGGGCTGGAGAGCTGCCTTGTCAATGCTTCTCCATGAAATAGTTCACTGTCTTTTGCAGCCATGACGGGAGCACTGGGTACCGATGATAGCAAGTCATTGTATGTATTTTTGCAGAATCCAAAGGCAAGTGCGGGCCTCCTCCTCGTATTGATCACGGGCTCATTCTTAACATCAACCTCCTCAATGAGAGCTTTGAAAGTGGTTCCTTGGTGGAGTACAGGTGTATGACGTACTATTTCCTACAAGGGCCCGTATATGCCTATTGTGTAGACGGAGTGTGGACCGAACCGCCAGTGTGTTTAGGTATGTGTTCCTATTTAATACAATACAACCACCCTTTCTTCCCTTTCTGTTCTCTTTGAGTAGCTACACACACTGCATGTGTGTTATTTTGTTAGAGAGCTTATTGAACCACGGGTTTCTATTCTTTCCTCTGGATCATAAATAACTCTAGGTCCAGTTCTCTAGAACAAGTGCTTGTTAAGTATACACCATTCACCAGATACTGGTGTGATATGGGTGAGATGAATGCACCGTGGTGGTTAAGAGTAAATCCTATATAATAAAAGCCTAATATGCAAATCAACCAAACGGCAGAACAACCAGTTGCTATGACACACACTGACCACCAGGGGGCAGATGCTCAATGCAGGAGCTGCCCCCAACCTGCAGGCCCCAGGCCAGCCAAGGTGGGTGCCAACGGGGGGCCTCCCAATCGCCCCCCGCTGGTCGCCCCGCAGAGGGAGGCAACCGGTGGCAGCAATTGCGGGGGGCATCAGGGCTGGCCAGCAAGCGGTGCCAGGCTGGCCAAGGTGGGTGCCAGTGGGGGCCCCCAATCGCCGGCAAGGCCGAGGGACCCTACCCATGCACAAATTTCGTGCATCAGGCCTCTAGTATATGTATAAGTGATTATTATTCAGTGTGATGGCACTATAATAGAAAACATGAGCACGGCCTAGAAACAAAGACAGGATGGCCACCTGCCTCCAGGAAGATGAAGCAAGTGAACATGTTGTTAGCTGGGCATCGTTGTGGAGGGAAACGACATCTACCACGGACCACGGAGGAAAATGGCAGGTGTCTCCTGTGAGCTCAGAGCATGTTTTGGTTTGGTTTTTTTAATCCTCACCCCAGAATATTTTCCCATTGATCGTTTGAGGGAGTGGAAGGAAGAGGGAGAGACAGAGAGAGAAAAAAACAGTGATGTGAGAGAGACACATTGAGAGGCTCCGGCCCAGGCTATTTGCCCCAATAGAATGAGACTCACCTGCCCAGGGCTGTTGGCCCAATAGAATGAGACTCACCTGCCCAGGGCTATTGGCCCCAATAGAACAAGATCCTAATGCCCAGGGCTATTGGCCCCAATAGAATGAGAGCCTCCTGCCCAGGGCTATTGGCCCCAATAGATGGAGACCCTCTTGCTCAGGGCTGTTGCCCTCAATATAATGAGACCCTCCTGCCCAGGGCCAGGTATTGAGCCTGTAACCAAGGTACATGCCCTTGATTGGAATTGAACCTGGGACTCCTCAGTCTGCCAGCCGACCCTCCATCCGCTGAGCCAACCCAGCTAGGACAGAGCTTGGAACATTTCTTCAGACTTAAATATTGACTCTAACTAGCTTACTTGCTCCTCTAATGCCCAGAAACTTCCAGGTCATCATGAGTAGGCAACGCACGGCTTCCTGGTCTACCAAGGTAATGGTTTTTTTCTTTTTCCTTTTTCCCCCCCCCCCAGAGCCCTGCAACTTATCGTTGGAAGAAATGGACAGGAATAATTTACTTCTGAAATGGCACTATGACAATAGGCGACTTATTTTCCATGGCGAGTACACTGACTTTGTCTGTAAAGTAAATCATTATATGACGGAGGTGTCTGCTTTTGCAACGGAACTCAGAGTGAAGTGTGACAGAGGGAAGTTAAAATATCCAAGATGCGTTTCAAGACGAAGGTAACACGAGGCTTGTTCCTACAACTGGCTTTTGTTTTCTTGTCATAGTGTTAGTCAAGAGATTCATCGTGTTGGTCAATTTCAGAAACGTTATGTTCTACAACGCACGCACTTTATGCTGTTTAAATATTTTAGTGTATCTTGGCTTTCTAATTCCTAAGAGAAAAATAAGTAAATAACAAAAAAATGGGGGGAAAGGGTGTGAATTAGTAAGTGACGTTGAGTTTATAAAAACAAATTGGTGGCCTAATTTTTCAAGTGTGGTTTTATGCTTTATCAAAACATAGTCAAAACAACGACTAATTATATGAAATATCAAAGGGCTAAGATTGTAATGAATATTTAAGCAGAAATGATGCTTGTTTCAACTCTCTCTCTCTCACTTTCTCTCTCTCAGGATGTCATATTATAAAGAGCCCTTTAAAACATGAATGGCAGAAATAAAAACCATATTTCAACACATTGTAAAATCCTTTGAGAAACATAATTTTTAGAAGAAAATGGTTGGATTAGAAACCTCTAAGTTTTAACTTGCTTGAAGATTTGAATTTCAGTTGTTTATGATGAACATTTTCTTTGTCTGCAAATAAAAAATCCGAACAGGTCCCTTTATTTCTAGTTTGATTGCACGTCTTCCATCTGTTCTATTATTGATCTCCACATCAAAATGTTTCCGCCTTCTATTGTCCATTTACTTCCTTCATTTTTTTTGTTGCTGTTAATCCTCACCCAAGGATATTTTTTCCATTGAATTTCACAGAGAGAGTAGAAGGGAAAGGGAGACACACACACACAGAGAAATGTTGATGTGAGAGAGACACATTGATTGGTTACCTCCCGCATGGGCCCGGTCAGGGGCTGGGGATCAAGCCTGCAACAGAGCTACATGCCCTTGACTGAAATTGAACCCACAACCCTTCAGTTCAGGGGCTCAAATACCAACTGGAGACTAGTTATCACACAGGGTTTCCATTGGACGGGGACTTTCATTTGTTTGAATATGTCTTCAACACCACTTAAGAGAAAAGAAAATTTCAGTTTCTATATTTACTTAGCCACAGGAATGACCAGCTATTTTGAAGATCTCATGTTTAAAATAATCGATTCTTTTGTCGAATAGAAGAGCAATGCTTCGACTCTGTAAAACTTCACCCATGGAAACAGACTGAGAACTGCCTCTCCCTCAGTGATTCTTCAGTCCAGGGATCCGCCCTCTGACTCCAGTGAGGGGCTGTTGTAAAGGAGTTATTTTCACTTACTATTTTATACATTTAAAAAATATATTTTTATGGATTTCAGAGAGGAAGGGAGAGGGAGAGAGAGAAACATCAATGATGAGAGAGAAGCATTGATTGGCTGCCTCCTGTACGCCCCACACTGGGGATCGAGCCTGCAACCCGGGCATGTGCCCTGACTGGGAATCAAACTACGACCTCCTGGTTCATAGGTTGACGCTCAACCACTCAGCCACGCCTGCTGGGCTCACTTACTATTTTAACATCTCATTTTTGATTGTACTATTTCCCCCAGTATATTCTAAGATATATACTGATCGTTTAAGCATCCAGTTCAATAGGCAGAAAGCCACACAGTTACCTCCATTGCTGTTTATTGATCCATCGGCAAGTAGTCTAATCCTACGATGGTGAAGAATTATTGTCTTGGTACAAGTGTAAGCAATGATATTGTTTTCTTTAAAGTGAAAAAGAGGCTAACACATTGCCTTTATGTCCTTTGAAATATAGTGGGAAAGAGCGGGAAATGCCAGAAGCCTGGCAAGCTTTGAGCAAAGAGCAGTAGGTGGGACTGGCCACATATTTGGGGCGACAGGGCTTCCTCATTCACATCTGGGGAACTTCACTGTCCCTTCCAGACACATGGCTTGAAATGACTCCTCTGACGTCACGGCCTTGCGTCCCGATTTGCACATAAATTCAATGATATCTCCTGTTTTTACATAATAGCGTTTGTTATCTTTCCCTTTTAACTGTATGTTCTTTTCATTCATGATTTCTTCTGATATTACACATGGATCTGAAAGTAGAAGAAATGAATAAAAACAATTAGTAACCTTTCCTTTTATGAACAAATTAACCTTCAACCCAATGACTAGCTTAGAGGATGAATTTATCAAAAGAGCTAATGTACATCATCAATGTGGGCCGAGTCCTGTTCTCAGCCCGGGTCCGTGGGCCCTCACAGCTCCTCAGCAGGCAGCTGCTCCTCCTCACACACCAGGAAGCTGAGGGGACGGAAGGTCAGGCACACCTGTCCAAGGTCACAGCGCTCATCAGGTGGACGATGAGTGTGGACCCGGCAGTGTGACCCCAGGGCCTCAGCTCTCTGTCTCTGGGATGTGGGGCATCCACAAGGTGACTTCCTGTCCAGTGGACATGGGAGCCTGCTCCATGATGGCCATGGTTCTTCCTTGTCCACTTCCCACTCAACTGGCAGTGGCTACAAATGCTCCCAGTTTAGTCACTTTCCACTGAGTTAAACGATGCTAATATTTTTCTCTTATGCCCACAAAATGGGGAAAGAGAACCATAGAAAATCACAAAATTTCTAATAAATATTCTATTAAAATACAACTATATATATTTGATATATATAAATATATTTTTATATCTCTATATCAATCAATCTATCTATCCATCCATCCATCCACCTACCCACATCCATTTATCATATCTATCTATCTATCTATTTACCTACCTATCTATCTATCTATCATCTCTCTATCTAATCTTCATTGTTCATGGTAAAGGCACTCTGAATGGATGGGTGCAAGATTATATACTAGTACACAGAGAATTTTAGAATCCCAACTTGATTACGAACACATTTCTCTACGTCTCTATCCCCCTGTGCCCTTATCTGTAAAATCAGTATAAATATTTTCTCCTTCAGAAAGTTTTTTTTTAGTGACATGAGGGAGGTACTAGTTTATCGCTATTGCAATGAGACTGTAAGCATCATTTCATATGTTATTATATTGCTTACAACCTTGTCTATTTTCTGCAGGCAAGGTGCTATTGCATTGTAGAAAGTATTACATGCTAACCGTGCTAAGTTTCTTTTTTTGGATTCCATTGAGTGGGGTGACATTGGTTAATAAAATTATATAGGTTTCCAGCGCACAATTCTATAGCACATCATCTGTATATTGCATTGTGTGCTCAACACGCAAAGTCACATCTCCTGTCACCATATATTTGATCCTTCACTATCCCACTAGCTCCTTCCCTCTGGTAACTCCATACTGTTGTCTGTGTCTATGAGTTTTTGCTGGTTTGTTATCTCTATCACAGAACTGATTTTATGTCCTTGGAGAATGATAGCTGCTCTCTTGTCCTAATGTTTGGAACGATATTGCTTGCGCTGTGAAATTCGTCTTAGACTTGTCCATCTACTCAGTCAATCCAACTTGAGATTTAGAATTTATCTTTGAAATGCAACACTTTCCCTCCCATAAAATCTAGCTTGGCACTATTTCTAGACTATTCTGACTTGGGTATATTAACTTTGATTTCCGCCCCTGGACTTACTGGGTTTGCTGTGATCTCCCGCAGAAGGGGACACATACACAGGAGAGGATGAGTCATGTAGGGTCCACAGTGGGATCAGTTAATGTATCAGAATCAGCCTCTCCGAATGGTCCTGTTTAAAGGACCTTTATCATTGTCCACACAGGGATTCTCCAGGCTCATAGCCCTACACACGAGTCTCCGAATGTGAAACATTGAGCAGGAGAGCTGTTGGTGAGCACAGTTCTAGACTCTGACTGCATGACTAGTAGACCGCACGCGAGCTCATCAACATCACCCTCATGGTCTCAGGATCTAGAAGCATCTTGAGAACTTACCTATGCATCTCGGGGGTTTGGACCACTTTCCATAACTACAGGTGACATCTGTAGGACCCCGGAGTTCATAGTAGGCCTGGCATTGGTATTGAACTCTTGACCAAGGAGGATACTCTTTCAATGGGAAGGAGGTGATGTCTCCATTGCTAATCGCTGGAGGAGGCCCACACTTGTCTGCAGATTCTGAAAAAGAGCATTTTAGCTGTTGAAGAGAAAATTATAGTTTTATTGGAAACTAATGTTTGGAACGGATATTGCTTGTGCATCTAAAGCTGCCCAGGAAGTATTGTCCCTCTTTTGCATTTTAAACCTTGTAACCACCATGTGGTTCAAAATGCCTTAGATCCCCACACTCAAGCAAGGACTCCATACATGTAGACTTTTCAGCTCTTGGAAAAGGAAATGCTGGAATCAAAATACTTACTAAAGCAGGTTGGCAAGTGGGTCCAGCCGTCCTCACCACACACCATGGAGCCCTTGGTGCTTCCATCTCTGTTTTCGTAGCCATCCAGGCATTGGTAGTCCAACGTGTCATTGGGTCGAAATGGTTTTCCGGTGATTACGGCTCTGGCATTCTCAAATATGGGCATGTCACAATGTTCTAAAGCAAAATAAAGGTGACCATTGTGTTTCTAATGCCGTATCGAGTCCCATCTAAGAAAGAGAATCTCATTAATTTGTGTGGGTAAGTGATGCATCAGGTGACAACTCCCTGAGTACCTGTTACTCTGGCCTGGATGAGTTATAGAACAAGAAGAATAGATTTCCTTACCCATCCTTTCTCCTACCATTCAAAACCTCTAAATATAGGTTAGGAACCTGTCGTCTGACCTATTTTTAACTGTGAGTATGTCACTGGCTATTAGTACATTACTCTGCTAGAATGATATGACGCTATCCCTTGAAGGACAGCACCATTTGGGAATGTAAGAGGTAATGTATGTATTTATGTGCAGATACTAACACTAAGAGTGTGTGTGTGTGTTAGAGAAAGACTGTAGTCCTAGGATACATGATGCATGTATTTATATGAAGACCCTCTCTTCCATAATGACTCCTAGAATAGAAAATTTACCCACATTGAGTATAAAAACGAATGGCAAAGGGTACAGCTTTTTCACTAAAGGGAGACCCTGAAATGGAAAACAATGTTTAAAAATGTAAGAAGTGATATCTCCTGGTGTTCTTTTAAGGCAATAATCCCACTTTCTGTAGCATAGGGTTTAGTTTTTCTTGAAAACAGTCTTATTTTTTAATATCTGTAAATGTTCTTAGTCCTCAATTGTTATTGAGTGAATTAATGGTAAATAATTCAACCCGTGAACCGGGTGTAGGGAAAGCTGGACAGAGAGAGTCCTTTAGGGGCTCAGGCTGTTGTGTCACACGGGGCTCAGTAGATTCCTGAATTCCCAGTTCAAGTCAGTGATCACTGCTTTTCTAAAACATGCAGGGCTCCAATGAAAGGTCAGCTCTACTCTATCCTGATGTATGAACAATGTCTGTAACAATTATCCTCTCATTTCTAAACAACACACACAAAACAACGTACAGAATCCTGTCTACTTAACATGTGAAAGCCAGATGTGACTACATATAAGAGCCTTCATTTATAACCTCATAGCATCAATACATGCCATCATAGTCCAGCCGGCAAGGCTCAGTGGTTAAGCATCAACCTATGAACCAGGAGGTCATGGTTCGATTCCCGGTCAGGGCACATGCCCGGGTTGTGGACTCAGTCCCCAGTAGGAGGCAGCTGATTGATGATTGTTTCTCATCACTGAAGTTTCTACCACTCTCTCCCTCTCCTTTCCTCTCTGAAGTCAATAAAAATATATTTAAAAAAATACATACCACCATAGGTGAAATGGTTGACAGCAATATACAGTATATGTGACACTGGGCAGGTGGTGTATTCATTTTTAATGTAAACTGTATTTTAAATTCTTCTTCAGTGAACAGAGAGCATGGCTTCAGTGTAATACTTGAGTATTGTAACTTGAATCTCCGTTTTATTGAACACTGTTTAGTAACATTCATGACTGACTTCACTGTTACTTAATTCAATACAATGACATAATCTACTTGCTGTCAAAAAGTTAGAACTTTTCAGACACATTTAGAACAAAAACTGAACTGCCTTTGTTTTGGTTGTTGTTAATCCTCTGCCAAGGATATTTTTTTCATTGAATTTTTGAGAGTGGATGGGAGGGAGGGAGTGAGAGAGAGAGAGAGAGAGAGAGAAACCTATGTGAAAGAGACTCATCGATTGGTTGCCTCCTGCATATCCCTGGAATCCAACCTGCAACCCAGGTACATGCCCTTTGCGGGAAATCGAACCGAAGACCCTTGGGTGTGCGGGCCCACCCTCTAACCACTGAGCTACACCAGCCAAGGTGAAATATGCCTTTCTTTTAAGGCAAAGAAGACTTGGTCCATTCAGCTTGAGAGCCGACACATAAAACGTTCCACCAAAGTAAGTCCGGTCTCAGGAAATGACAGCCTGGGTCTTGGAGCTGTTTACTTACTGACGGGGATGCATATGGGAGGAGGGGACCAGCCGGCCTCCGTACAGGTCATCCTGTTCTGTGGGTTTTGAAGACCGTAGCCCAGACGGCACATAACTGTCCTAGATTGGCCCTGGACATAGCTTTCTTCAGTAGCTGGAGAATATCCATGTAGCAAAGACTTGAAAGAACATTTTCCTAGGAATTGTAAATTGATAATAAGAAATAAGAAATTTGGTTAAGACATTAAAAAGCATCTTTGCAATATTTAATTTAGAATACATGAGCACCCAAAAAGAACACATAGTTTGAGAGGAACTAAAGTTGCTAGCAAGTGTTTTTTAAAAGAGAAAAATCAAGATGAAAGGTAATCTGCCATTTTCACAATTAAACTATGAATAAATGACATCACTTTATTGTTATAAAGTTTTTATTTTGATCTCCCATTTTCTTTTTTTTCAGTTAATCCTCACTCGAAGATACTTCCCCATTGATTTTTATTTTTTATTTTTTTAATATATTCTATTGATGTTTTTTACAGAGAGGAAGGGAGAGGGATAGAGAGTTATAAACATCGATGAGAGAGAAACATCGATCAGCTGCCTCCTGCACGCCCCCCACTAGGGACGTGCCCGCAACCAAGGTACATGCCCTTGACTGGAATCGAACCTGGGACCCTTCAGTCCGCAGGCCGACGCTCTATCCACTGAGCCAAACCGGTTAGGGCTCCCCATTGATCTTTAGAGAGAGTGGAAGGGAGAGGGAGAGACAGAGAGAAACATCCATGTGAGAGAGACACATCGATTGGTTGCCTCCTGCACGTGCCCTGACCAGGGCCGAGGAACCTGCAACCGAGGTACGTGCATGCCCTTGACCGGAATCAAACTCGGGACCCTTCTCTCCGCAGGCGGACACTCTATTCACTGAGCCAAACCGGGTAGGGCAACCTCCCATATTTTTAATGAGAAATCTACCAGAAAAGAAAAATCCTACATTGGTCTTTCTGCTCATAGAACGCTTCCCTCGACCTTGTTGTACTCATGTTTTTCTCTCTCTACTGTGAAGTGTTTCTATGCGCACAGGATGAAGAGGTTGGCTTACTGAGGCAGGGGATTTCCGGCGACCATCCATCCTGTGTGCAATTCATGATAGCCAGGCTAGTTTGAGAAGGAGGCTCGTAGCCGTAGTCACAGAAGTAGAGTAACGATCGCCCTACATATACCGGAAAGTATTTAGATGTACCCGAATGAAGCAGCCGTCCATGTTTTATTTCCGGAAATCCGCAGGGCTTCACTTAGCAATGAAAACAAAGAACACACAGTATGAATAATGGTGTGCATTCACAAAAATCCAGGAGGAGTGAAATTGTTTCAACGGTGAATTATATCCCTTTCTTACCATACAAATACAGTGGGGCCTTGACTTAGGAGTTTAATTCGTTCCGAGACCGAGCTCGTTAAGGAGCTCGTTAACTCAAATTACTCTGTCAACTCAAAGCAAAAAATCGGCCCAGAGACAGCTGGTATCTCAAAAAACTCGTTAGTCGGGATACTCGTAAGTCAAGGCCCCACTGTAACATCATTGCATTAGGCTTTCTAGGACACGAAAAGTTATAAAGTTCGGATGATGTAACTAACACTTGTTTTCTGCACATTTCATAACATATACGAATATGGAATCCTTAGAGGGTCCACCTGAAACTACTATTTATATGCCCACTTTACTCTAAACCAGTGGTTCTCAATCTTGGCTGCACATTAGAATCACCTGGGAATCTCTTTAAATTCTGATTTCTGGGCCTCCATTCTCGGAATTCTGTTTCTTTGCTATGGGGTGGGCCACACATCAGTACAAAGAAACAGAATTTCCAGAGGATGAGGCCCAGAAATCAGGATTTCAAAAAGATTCCCAGGTGATTCTAATGTGCAGCCAAGGTTGAGAACCACTGCTCTAAACCAATCAATCAATAGACAATCACTCTCCTTGTCATTGTTATGCACACAGAGGTCTATGTCGCAGTGGTCATGGCCTCCTCTTTAAGGCACCTGACTGTCCACATTCATTTGGCCTTGGCCTTGAATGAACCCTGAGCCCATTGACCTGTCATGTGTATCATTTCATTTTTCATCCATGGAAGATCCACCTTAAGTGCGGGCCCCTTTTCCAATGAACTGATACACAAGGAGCAGCAATGAGATTGTAGAGACAGAAAACACTGGAAAAGGGGCAGCCCCCCAGGAATAAAGTGCCCTGTGGACTGAGGGGCTTGTGTGACAGGTGGGGCTTTAGAAAGTGCACAATGTCTCCCACATTCATCCCCTCATACAAGGGAGCCCCGGGCCCCTCCCTTGAGTGAGGCTGGACTGAGGGGCGCTCTTCTGAAGAGGTCACGTGGCTGAGGGGACCGTGTGACCAGGTCATCGATGCTCTGGAGGCGCCTCCAGGGCCCTCAGGTCATCGCTATGGGAGGGTGACCTGCCCTCAGGCCGCAGATGGGGACGCCCAGGGGGACGGCTGCGGAGGCTCCAGCACTCGCCCTGGGCAGCATCCCAGGGAGCAGCAGGGAGTGACCCAGAACCAGGCAGTTAAGAGTCACCCAAATTCTGACCCTGCCAACGCTGACACGTGGGGGCTATTGTTCTGAGGTAGTATGTTCAGGGGAGTTTGTTATATAGAAACCAATTACTATTCTACTCGGTGTTAAGTGGTAGTGCTCTTACCCAATACCCTAGGTCAGATATTAGAATTATATTATCTGGACACACACACACACACACACACACACTTAACATTGAAGCAAAATTTTAAAAAGTTTTTCACTTACAAAGATGGGACATTGTCCTTAGAATTGGCGACTTTGAAAAGCAAAGAGCGCCTGCCAGTCCTCTGCTTTAACCTTCTCATTGAGGCAATGACTGGGCTTCTCAGGCCCCATTTCTTGGTGTTTAAGGGAAGGAATTTATAACGAAGAAGCAGGCCAGGACCCGAATGGGACTTACGGACACATCTGGGACGAGGCAGCCAGCCTACAAGAGAGCATTTTGTTGTATTTCCCAGGAGGGGAGGATAGAAGCCATTTCCACACTGGTATGTGATGACATCATCAAGTTCGTACTGGTTCATTTTAGGAGCAAAGTCACCGTTTGGAATTGTCGGAGGATCACATGTTATTTCTGAGAAGAAAAAGGACACGTGGATTATGCAGATAATTATCCCATCAACATATTCTTTTAAAAAATATATATTTTTATTGATTTCAGAGAGGAAGGGAGAGGGAGAGAGAGACACATCAATGATGAGCGAGAATCATTGCTAGGCCCCTTACTCGGGATCCAGCTCACAACCCAGGCATGTGCCCTGACCGGGAATCGAAAGATGACCTTCTGGTTCATAGGTCAACGCTCAGTCACTGAGCCACATGGGCCGGGCTCCATCAAGGTATTATTTATTGTGACCTTAAAACACAGAAACTGTTTACTGGTCAATTCATTCATAAATTACAGACAGCCCTGGCCGGGTTGCTCAGTGGTTAGAATGTTGGCCCTCAGACCAACGGTCCCTGGTTTAATTCCCGGTCAAGGGCACAGACTTCGTTTGCAGGTTCCATCCCTGGCCCTGGTTGGGGTGAGTGTGAGAGGCAATCAATCCATATGTTTCTCTCACATTGATGTTTCTCTATCTTTCTCTTGCTCTCTCTCTCCCCACACCCTGCCCCTTCTCCCTCATATTCACTCTTTCTCTAAAAATCAATGGGAAAAAATATCCTTGGGTGAGGATTAAAAAAAAACTAGAGACAAATGAAAATGAGCGAAGTTCTACTTAAGAAGGAGCTAATATCCCCATCAGTTTCCACTCACCTTGTCCACGAGCCCAGGAGACCCACAGGGTGAGGATGACCTTGACTAGTAACAGCATGGTGGGCTCCCCGGGTGTGTTAGCACAGAGAGTCCAGCGCTCTTCTGTGTGGTTTTAACTCGGCTTCCTGAGCCGTTACCAAGTGTGGCCCTGAATTTAAGTGACAGTACCGGGAAGCTGGTTCACTGAGGTCACTCGGTAGATAACAAAGTTCAAAGACTTTCGCAATATCTGTGTGTTTACATGAAGGATTTCACAATCATTTGTTGACTTCGTTCCCAGACATGTGTGTGTACAGCTTTCCTTAGGGACAGTCACAGTAAGACTGGATATAAAACTCGAATCTTTAAACTTCTTGAGGATGGGTGAGGTTCTTTCTCAACCAGGAGATTCACGTGGGAGTAGCTCTGACTGCCTGTCCCTGTGACTGTCTCTCCTCCTCTCGTTGCTCTCACCCAACTGCAGTCCTTAGGGGTCTATGGACACCACCCAGTGTGTCACACAGTGTAGGGTCCTGTCTGTAGGACAGCACTGATTTTTTTGGTAAATTCACAACAGACCATACCACCAGGTCCAAGAATTTCAGCACATTCTTGATATTCAACTTTTTCATGTTTTATTGATTTTAGAGAGAGAGAGAAACATCGATGAGGGATAGAGGCAGGCACTGAGGTGATTTCTGGCCAGAGACATTTCATGAACAGAACACACAGCATGTTGATTTGTCACATTTTCATGAGATGCTTATGAGAAGTGGTCCGTTGGTCTCTCAGATTACAATGACATCTTCCACATGGTATTTAATGCAAATTCTGATTAGTGAATAAAAGCAAGTTACAGAAAAATAAATTGAGATGAACTGGATTAATATTTAAAAATTTTGAATGAGGCTCATATTTTAATGTGAAAACTTGCCACACAGCTCTCATGTTATCCACATGTGGGATACTCCATTTTTCCTTCATGACATTGTGCTCGGAATGCAGATGCTGGTGACACTCTACGATAGGGAAATCGACACACAAATTCAACAAAATCATTTGTTCTGGAATAAATTTTTTTTGCATATGAATATCTCAACTCTATGTTATGTGCTTCCATGATTTCTTCTGATATTACACAGGCATCTGAAAGTAAAAAAAAGAAATAAAACTAAGTATTTTATGAGTATTTTCCACAGAATTTTACAGTTTCATGCAGCATCTCCTACACAGATCTAGGAATTTATTCTCAAACCCTTTTCCAAACCAATTCATTGAAAATCCACCATGTTGCCATAACTCATTCTAAACTATCAATGATGTAAAAATGAGGTGCTCTGTGGAATGTGTGATCATTGCATCTTATAATCAACATTCACAATGTCAGCTATGCTTTTAAGGGCTTTCATTAAAGAATCCTTGAAGAGGGTGGTGGAGGTGGATGAGGGTGGTGGGGGCATAAGTGGTGATGGGGAAAATAAATTAAAATAAAGAAAAATGATAGTTTCTTGCTGTGGATGCTCAAGAATTTTTTAGACTTTATACCCTCAGACATGACTATTTGGTTGTCAACAGAATAGGTGATTGTCCATGCAAGTTCTGTTGTAAACAGCAAATGTGGCATTCATTACACGGATTTCTCAGGGTCCACGAGGAAATTAAAGGACTTACCCAAGCATTTGGGTGGCTCAGACCACTGTCCATCACGGCATGTTATTCTCCTGTTTCCCTCAAGTTCATAGTAGAGCTGGCATTGATACTCCACTGAAGACCCGGGAGCGTAGACTGCTAATGGATACGTGGTAATGTCTCCATTGTCAATAGCAGGAGGGGGCCCACATTGTCCTGTGGGCTCTAAGAGAGGATATTGTTGGTTTATTGAGTGAGCAGTTGATTTTAAGGGGCTGCGGAGTAGGTGGGAGCTACACTCACCTCCTCCCGGCCCCAAACCGATTTACAGGAAATGATAGAGCAACCAACCTGAGTAACCAATGAAGGCCAGCTGGACAGGAGTCTAGTCACCAAGTGCTTACAGAAGCTGCACAGAAACTGGGAGGGGAGAATGAGACACCTACCCTTGCACTCAGGTGGGTCTGTCCACTCCCCACTTAGACATGTCACTTCTGCATTCCCGAAGAGGCCCAAAGGGTGTCTGCACTGATAATGTGCTGTGTCCCCATGTCGATACCTAGGCTTCTGGTTTGGTATAAAGGCATTTTGCACTGTGGGAGGGCTGCCACAGGAGAGAGCTGAATAAAGAGGAAAAAAGGGATCTCTAATGCAGTGATCATTTATACACAATGGAGACTGAAAATCTTCACAAATTTACATGCAAGATTGAAAACAAGATAAACCAATTTTTTTGGGTAAGATTTAAGCTTCTATATGTTAATTTCAAATTTTTTTTAAATTAATTGTTAGATAGAGAGGAAAGGGGAGAGAGAGAGAGAGAGAGAGAGAGAGAGAGAGAGAGAGAGAAAGAAACATCGATTGGCTGCCTCATGCATGCCTCCTACTGGGGATCAAGCCCACAACCCCAGCATGTGCCCTGACCGGGATCAAACCAGTGATCTATTGGTACAAGGGATGTCACTCAATCAACTGAGCTACACCAGCCAGGGCCGCAGCTATTTCTTTTTTTAAATATATCTGTATTGATTTCAGAGAAGAAGGGAGAGGGAGAGAGAGAGAAACATCAATGATGAGAAAGAATCATTGATTGGCTACCTCCTGAACACCCCCTAATAGGGATCGAGCCTGCAACTCAGGCATGTGCCCTTGACCGGAATCGAACCCAGGACCCTTCAGTCTGCAGGCTGGTGCTGTATCCACTGCACCACACCATCCAGGGCCACAGCGATTTCTTTATGAAATGAAGAAGGAGACAGAATCCCAGAGGACAGCGTTCTACTTACTGATGCGGCTGCATGTAGGAGGCGTGGACCAGCCGTGTTCCGCACATGTGATGACATCCTGGTCATTGGTGAGGCTGTAGCCCTGGTCACAGACGATCTGTACCGTGTCCCCCTCCTGGTGCGTTCGCCCTGAAGATGTGGAATGCCCATTTTCCACCCAGGGGAAGAAGCACTGTCCTGCAAGCCAAGGATGACTAAAATGAATCCTGCACCAGGTCAGAAATCAAGTGCAAAAAGCACTTCCTTAAAAATCAGTTCATGCCAATGAACATACGAGTGTGTGCTATCCGTCAATCATGACTTCTATGTAAAGCACATTTTGACGTTTGTCACGTTCTCTTAGGTATCAGAAAAGTGACTGGTTTTTCTCATTCCATTGACGCAATTGCATCCTAGGCTTCCATCTCCTGGGCTCGCCTCCGCCCTTTTTCTCTCTCCTAGTTGTTCTCCTCGTGTCTCTGCCCTCATTGAGAGAGGAAGACAGGTGTGACTCACAAGCATGTGACTAAGAAAAACCACGCAAAGGAAGGAAACTCGTAAAAATGCTCCTTGGTTATCCGAAGGGACAGCATATGGTGGACAGAGGTTACCTGTCAAAAAATGAACTCTCCCGAGAAACATCTGTGTTCCTACAATGACCAAGTGAGCGCGTTTAAATATTAGCAGTTGAAATGGCCGAGCATTGGTTTTTGATATTAAAAAAATTTAGATATTTCATCAAGCTTGTATCTTATTTTTTGCCGAGTTGATTTCTGAAGAGTGACATGTCTTACCTTCGCTGGCTCCACCAACCTCTGACACGGTAATTGTTCAGATTCTGTGATCCCTCCTGCAGGCTCCCTCCCCGCCCCCTTCACTGAGTCCGCTGAGTAATTCATCGGGGAATGGGGGTTGGGGGGCATTTACTCACTGATACACCTCGGAGCTGGCGACCATCCTCCCTTCGTGCAGTTTATCTGCGTCCAGAGTGACCGGGAGGGAGACACGAAGCTGTGGTCACAGGAGTAGTAGAAGTATTTCCCCGTGGCGACCGGGAAGGTGGGCTTATATCTGTTTTCCTCATATATGTTTCCATGTTTTATTTCCGGGAAATCACAAGTTCTTCCTGAAGGAAAAAAATGTAGGACCCCGTATGAACGAACAAGTCTCCTCTATTACCCTCACCCCCTTAATGACATGTTGTAAGTTAATCACCCCTTAAAGGCCTTATCACCACACAGTTACATGCTGAGATTCCAGGAGTTTGGACTTCAATCCAACCCCTGCCAACTAAATACACAGAGGTGTTTGTGTCCACATAAAAGGTTTGGCCCCTAAGTGGGATCCTTTCCCCTGACAAACATTGGTGCAACTCCAACTACAGAGCGTTTAAAAGTGGACTGGTACCCATCTTTAAAAAAAATATATGTTTTTATTGATTTTAGAGAGCAGGAAGGGGAGGGAGAGAGAGATAGAAACATCAATAATGAGAGAGAATCACGGATCGGCTGCCTCCTGCACGCCCCACACTGGGGATCGAGCCCACAACCCGGGCCTGTGCCCTGCCCGGGAATTGAACCGTGACCTCCTATTCATGGGATGTTACTCAGTCAACCACTGACCTACACTGGCCAGCTACTTACAAATTTTTTTTTATTGATTTTTAAGAGAAAGAAAACAGGGGAGGGATATTTAGAGAGAAACATTGATATGGGCCATTGACCC